AAGGCCGGTTCAGCACCTGCAATTTCCACAGAAAAAAGGTCGTCTTCAAACTCGGGTCGAAAAGGCTGAGCACAGGGTGTCTAGGATTGCAGGAGTTAACTTTTACCCTGAGCTGCGTGCAAAACCAGTTTTCCACGATGGGGACACCGGGATGCAAACTTCATGGGTTTAAAACGAGCTGTTGGCCCTTTAAATCAACCCTCTCCGTGCGCGTGCGCGACAAGCGGCATTGGCGGGGGCTGGGAAAGTGACTTAAGCCGCCTCCCCGCTTGCGGGTGTGACATCATCGCTGAAACTGCTGCAGCGGCGGCGGCCAGAGCCAGAAAGGCAATAAATGTTGTGGTTCACAGATAGCATTTCCAGATAAAAAGCGGCGCGGGCACTTGTTTTAGGCAACCCACCTCGCTTTAGGAGAGTTTTTCATTTATGCCCGCCTGCCTAATGAATGGCATGGCATGTGAATATAGCGAAACCCGGTGCCTAATCTGAGCTTGCCGTTGACAGCAGAGGTCAGCCAACATCTACAATTTAAAATCTCAGCCTAAACAAATGGTACAAAATATTCTCAGGTCTACTTCAGGACCTGATGGAACCAGTTTCTCCAGGTTGTGAAATAAAGACAGAAGAGCATAGCTAAGCATGCACAGAGTGCTGCCCCTCAACACTGGCTAACCACAAAGAGTTACCTAGGTGGTAGTGGCAGTTGGGGCTTAATATTGCAAATGGGCTGTTGGCATTGTTTTTAAATCGGATTTTCCTGAAAAATGGGGCAGGAATAGGGGCTGGTATTGATGCTGATGTTTTATGGACTCTGCAAAAAAAGCCTGCATGGGTGTGAACAGGTCCCATTCGATGATAAACACCTGTCTGGAAGCAGCCTTAGTTACACTAACCATCTGATATATTTCAGGAAAAGGCTGCTATTTTTGTAAAGCATGTGGGCCAGCCACCAGCCTCAGTCCAACTCATTGGTAACTCTCAGTGGTACCCCTTGCACTACAATTCCCATCAGTCCAAGCCAGCATTGCCAATGGTCAGGGATAACAGGAGATGGAGCTCAATACATCTCAAGGGCACCAAATTGGCCATCCCTGATCTACCCTACCTCCTGGGCTGTTGTGAAGATAAAATGGGAACATTCCCCATATAAATCGTTCTGAGCTCTTTGGAGAAATGGGAAGGACTCTCATTTGAGGCATGTGCTTCAGACTGTGGTGCAGTTAGGAGTCATTTTAGACTCTACATTAGCGGTGGGGAACCCAGTGGGCCATGTCTTTATATCACCCTACCCTGTGGGACAACTTTGACAATAATTGCATCAGGTGATTGACAAGTGCCTACTGTCAAAAGTTGGCCCATGGGGGTGGGGAGAGTGACCAAGGAGGATCAAGCCTGCTTTCTGTAGGAATCAGCTGCACAATTTTACCTGCTCAATGCCTGACGGTGCTTATGACAGATGTGGGCCAAATCGGTGGTTTGGTGTGTTTTTTGAAAAAAGGTCTTGCAGGCCAAATGGGGAGGACTCGTGGGCCAAATCTGGCCTGTGAGTCGAAGGTTCCCTATCCCAGCTATCTGGACAGGGGAAGAACAATGTGTATTGACACCACTTCCTTCAACATATGTTAAGTCAGCCTGGCTGCTGCATTAGAGGTCACCTCCTGAACCGTGTTGCATATTAAAGAGTGGCAATGCAGAGAAGCACCAGTGCCTAGCATCCTTGGGAAGTCGCCAGATCCCCAGCTGGTTGCTGAAGTCCACTGCTGACACCTGCTTTTGAACCACCCTTAAAAAAATTCTCGCCAGGTGCTCCGAAGAGTCATTATTTTCGAGTGGGATTCAATCACGTGCCAGCAAATTCAGCTTGCACATTTAGTTGACTGAGAGGTTTTCTGCAACAAAGGTTTCCCAAAGGTTGGACTTTTTGTGATAAAGTTAAGTGGTGAGGAAAGGCACTGGAAAATGTGGGATAAACACTTGCTTGAAGCAACGTCGTCTAACTTCCCCACAAACAAGTCCAAATGAACAGTCAATGAACAGGTTGTCTGAACAAAATAATAAAAAAAATTCCTTCCAGTAGCACCTTAAAGACTAGCTAAGTTAGTTACTGGTATGAGCTTTCGTGTGCATGCACACTTCTTCAGATAGGTTGTCTGAAAGCTGCCTGAGTTAAATTTCCCATAATGCCCTAGAGCAACACTATGTCACAGGCATTGTGGGAAACTAAAAGGATGGCTAGAGTCAGCTGTCTGCTGCTGCCTTGAGTGCTGTTGCTTCCACCATTAGGTAAACCCACCAGGACCTACCAATGGACACAATGCTTTGCGCAGAGACTCCTCAAACCTGGAGGAGACCCCACACATGGGCCATTGGGGGCATACTTTGTGCAATAAAAGATAACTACATTAAATAATATTGCATAATCAAAGCAAATAAAAGGTTGCAGATAATGGGAAACACAAAGCATTTCTTCTGAGTAACAAAACACACTAATTAAAACTGGCAGATACAACAAAACAGATTCAAACAACCATCTATTAAGTAAAAACAACAACAACTGCAGATTCACATACACAGATTCAGATCTAAAATGCTTATCTTCCCCCAAGGCTGAATGTATGAATGAAAATAAAATAATATACTAAAGCAATTAAAAATAAGTACAGAAGGTGCAGGTCACAAATAAAATATCTTGCAGGGGGTTTGGGTTTTCATTTGGGGGCTCTCTGAGGCTATTCAAGTTTGTATAACTATCTGGCTATGATACATCAGAGAAAAGTGATTAGAGCCAGTGTGGCTAAGGGGTTAGAGTTTTGGACTAGGATGTGGGAGAACAGGGTTCAAGTGCTCACTCAGCTAGGAAGTTTAGGGTTGTTATGAGGATAAAATGGGGAGGGGGGAACCATGTACACCACCTAGACCTAGAGCTCCTTGGAGAAAAGGGTGGGATACAAGTGCAATAAATATAATAAAAATTGATGCTACACAAAAATATTTTCTGGTCTATATGTGTTGAATTCAGCTTCCACCTGATATGGTATCTGTGGTGTGTCTGAAGAACAGCAGGAGCAGTGGTTGTTAATGGCAGGCACAGCACATCAAATATATTTGTAACTGGATTTTATTACTACTTTTTATTTCTGTCAAAGATGTCAAAGAGAAAAACAACTACCAGACTTTTAGAAGACATCTGAAGGCAGCCCTGTTTAGGGAAGCTTTTAATGTTTAATAGATTATTGTATTTTAATATTCTGTTGGAAGCCGCCCAGAGTGGCTGGGGAAACCCAGCCAGATGGGCGGGGTATAAATAATTTTTATAATTTATAAATTTATAATTTTTATAATTTATAAATTTATAAATAATAAATAAATTATTATTATTATTGTATTTTATTTTCTATTGTGATTTCTATTGTATTTTATGGAACTCAAATTGTAATACAATAAAATGCAACCTTACAATGAAAAACCATACAGCATCTGACATAGTGCACTCCAATGGCTACAAAAGGTAGAAAAATCATTAAGTGATCCACCAAGACCCTCAACCAGTTCCCCCAGTGGTGGGGAGAAGAGTTTGGAAACCAGTGCCCCAAACATTCTGGTTATGCTATTTCTGTAATCTATGTATGCTGGCTGTTTGGCTGTAATAAACATTTATTCATTCATTTTTGTAGTCCATATTGGTGTCACCTCTGACTTCTGCAGCTGGCCAAGGTGACAGGTGTCAGTCTGAATGAGGCAACACTTGGATGGTGAAGACAAAGGACTCATCTGGCTGACTTTGGGGGGGGCAGTCTCTGGGAAAGAACTTGTCTAGTGAGCCCCTTTCTTTTTTAGTCTTCTGCCATGAGCTAACCTAACTGCAATGGTGGGAGTAGCAATCAGCATGTGTGCTTCAAGCAAGGCTAGTTGCCACCATTTTAAATTTCCCACAGTGCCCTTGAACACCTCTATGGTGAGAGCAGTGTGGGAAATTAAAATGGCAGCTAGATCAACTGCTTGGTGCAGCTCAAAGTCCAGGAGTCGATTTGTTTTGGGGTTTGATTTTAGAAATGAGGTGGGTTAACACCCCAAGCCCCCACAGCTGGAGGGCAGTGCTGTCCACACACCTGAGTAACCCCCAGATGGAGCCATTTTAGATAGATAGGGTGCTGGGACCATGGGCATAGCCAGGATTTTTGTTAGTGGGGGGGGCAGAACTTAAGTTTGATATGGATTTATATTGATTAGGGGGGCAGCTGGCCCTCCCTGCCCCCCTTGGCTATCCTCATGACTGGGGCCAAGGCAGTTGCCCCAGACTGCCAAGTGCTGGTGCCAACTTTATGCCCCCTCATAATCACGTGCCAACACGCTCTGGCCCACTTGTTGGTAGTGATGTGCACCATCCCAAGGCTAGCAGAGCAGCCCTCCTTTTTACACTTATCTGCTGGGAGTAACCCTAACGGACTTCAATGAGGCTTACTTACGAGCAGACGTGGCTAAGATTCCCCTAGGAGTCCTGACAACCTTCTGCCTGGGAAAAAAGGGGGGGGGGTCTTAAGCAGTGGCAAAAAGTTAGGAAGGTGGGCTCCTGTATACCGTGCCATCTTTGGCCCGTTTCGCTTTAGAGGTTTTCTACACTTGTGCTAGAATTACAGAACAGAATTACGGGAACGGAGTTAACAAGCAAACAAGTCAAGCAGAAGGTTAAAAGCTGTTTTAAGTGGCGAATGCGAACGCCGCAGGCTGTTTGGGAGGATATTGTAAATGCAGTCGATAAACACAATAGATTCATTCAGTGGGATCTCCCGCACGCACAGCTGGAAGGCAAGTGCTCCCCACTCTCTTGAGTAACCCCCAGATTGGGGCCGTTTTTATTTCTTAAAAAAACACCTTGTCTCCTTGCTCTCCCCTCTTCCCATCTTTCCTCCGGCCAGGCAAGCAACGGGTGGAGCCTGATCCGGAGAGAGACGCACACAAAGCCGGCCTCCTCCTCCTCCTCCCGTCCCCCCCGGCCGGGAGGAGCCTGATTCAGAGGCGCCGGGGCAGACGAAAAGCCAAGGCGCCCTCCCTCCCTCCTTCGCCACCAGCCGGCTTTGCTTGCAGAGAGGAGGAGCGAGACGGTCGCCGCCTGCCATGCACCTCTTGCCGCAAGGGGAGAGCAGCGCTGCCAGGATACAGACCCATCGGGTAGGCGAGTGAGGAGGAGGCGACAGAGAGAGGAGGGAGGGAAAAAAGAGGGGGACACCTGATTTCTCCTCCTATACCCCCGGAGTGAGTCGCGCTTTCTCTGCCTCCTTCTGGATGCCGGCTTGAACCGGGGCCTCCTTTTGCAAAACGCTGCCTGGCTTGTTTTTTTTTTCCTCCTCTCCTTCTTGTGGGGGCGCTGCTGATTTCCCTCCCCCTCCCTTTGCTCCTTCCATTGAATCTTTTTTTTTGGGGGGGGGTTGTTCTGCGAGTTCGCGCGCTGCCCTTGCCTGGATTTCAACCACCTCATCTTACTCTTCCTTGAAATCGATTTTTTTTCACGTGATCTAATAGATCAACTCTTCTCTTTTCCTCCGGAGCAGAGGTGGTGTGTGCGTGTGCTTGCGGGCTGCTTTTTCCTTCTGGAAGGGGAGATGCGAAGGGTGTGGAGGTGATGGACGCGAGGCGATGGCATAGGAGCGCGGCTCCGGTTTGCAGGAGAGGCGGCGGCGGCGGCGATTCCTCCGAGGCGTCCAAAACGGCACCATAACCGGAGATCGGGGTTTTTTTCAGTAGCGGGGCGGCGGTTGCTAAGGAGAAGCGGAGCGGCCTTTACATTGCATTTCTCTCCCCGCCCCTCCTCCTCCTCGCAGTCCCTTTTTTCTATTTAAAAGGAAACAAGAAAAAAGCAACCCGCTTTCCTCTCCCCTCCCCCCCTTCAGTTTCTCTCTGATGAAAATGGATCCGGATTTGCTAATGACTCTTTCCGATCCAGGGACCAAACCGGATCGAGAACCGCTTCTGACGCTGGGGCCCCTCCAGAATGGGAAATACCTCCTCCTGGAGCAAAAGAGAGGACCGGCTTTGCCCAGCCCCGAACTCGTGCTGCTTTCCCGGGAAACAACCGCGGGAAACACCGCCTTGATCTTGCCCGGAACAGGGGACATAAAAAAGCCTTTGGCCCTGGAGCGGGTCCTGAACGGGATGAAGCTGGGTGAGATGGAGCGCCGCCAAGCCTTGTTCCCCGACGGCCCCCTTGAATTTTTGTACCGCGTGGAGAAGGAGCCGGAGGAGGTGGACCGGGAGGCCCAGGGACCAATCAGCGACGGGGAAACCGGTTCAGGTGTGGGCGATAACAGTAATCCGGATAGCCCTGGGGAGGGTTTGGATTTGAGGCTTGCCCCTGTCCGGGATGGGTTGGCCTTGGAGGAAAGCACAGCGTTGAGGGAAGAGGAGCAGTTGGTCTCTTGCTCCTTCATCCAGGCAGAGTCTCCAGTTCCTCAGGATTTACAACCGGTTGTAGAGGAGTGGAGTGAAGGAGAACCCTTTCCACAACCCCAGGAGCCTGTGGAAGGTGGGGAACCCTTGATCTTGGCTGGTGAGCCTTCTCAAGAGGAAGAGGAGGAGGAGGAGGAGGAAGAAGGCCCCTTAGACAGAGGCCTTCCAAGCCCCCCTTGGACTAAAGATATGGATAGCTGTGACTCTCAAAAGTGTCCGCAGAGCCCTTTGCTGCGGCCTTTGGATTTGGCTCTTGCTCCCCAAATTGGCACGGGAGTGGACCTCTTTCCTGCTTTCCATTCTCCCAATAATCTCAGCCCACACCTTGAATTTGGGCACACTGAACACATAGAGGATGAATCTCCAAGTTCCCCAGAGGATGCTCCCCGGCTCCGAGCTGTCTTCGATGCCCTGGACCGTGATGGTGATGGATTTGTCCGGATAGAGGAGTTTGTCCAGTTTGCTACGGTTTATGGAGCAGAGCAGGTAATAGGGTTTTCTTTTTCTTTTTTTCAAGGCTAATTTTGTTGAGGGTTGATGGCTTCTCTTGTGTATAGTGAACTACCCTGTGCTTTTAAATATGTGCATCTGATATAAATCTTATTCTATTCTGTAGCCAAGCCAACACATAACTTTGGTTCTATGAGGGAGGTTTTTGTGGATGCTTCCAGTGTTGAATTGAGGAAGAGCAGTTGTATTGAGCAGTTCCAGCCAAGGCTTATGCTCTTAATGGCACTCTCATTTCACAGCCCAGGCCTATTCATGTTTACTCAGAAGTAAGCCCCTGAGAGGCCAGTCAGGCTTACCTTCAAGTCAAGTCTGGTAAGATAGTCTACTGCACAGCCACCTTACGTCAAGTGGAACTTAGTACTCAAGTGTAGCCAAGTTACATTGACACCTGAGACAGAAAGTCTCACAAGTGCCTCTCCCTGGGAGTAAATCTACAATGATAATTAACTTATGATAACGAAAACAAATAACTAATGACTTAGTCTTTCACGATGTCCTAAATTGGTTGCCTTGGGAGGCTGTCTCATGATGTCTAATAGCAGGACCAGCGCTGACTTAGTACGGGTAAGAAGAGTGCAGCCTTAGGCCCAGTTTATACCAGTAACAAGGCTTTCTTTTGAGCTTGTCTGTTTTAGGCCACTGAGAAGGTGAGGCCTAGCCAGCTCTCTACCGCAGGCATAGTCAAACTCTGCCTTCTAGATGTTTTGGGACTACAATTCCCATCATCCCTGACCACTGGTCCTGTTAGCTAGGGATCATGGGAGTTGTAGTCCCAAAACATCTGGAGGGCCGAGTTTGCCTATGTCTGCCCTACCATATAAACAAGGCATTTTCCACTGTGTGTTTGGATGGGGAAAGCATTCACATATGGCTGTTTTGACCTGTAGGAAAAAATGACATAGGCCATGAAAAAAACCCCAACTGTGGCTTGATTTTTATTTTTTATATATATAGAAATGGGGCCAAAGGCTCTGGAAACTTTTAATTTCTTCATCTGCTGTGAGCAACACCTATGTGTGTAACTGTGATCCCACCTACTTTTAAGTGGTATTATGTAATCTGATCAAATTTGATATCTACTTTTGTGCTTGGTGTGTATCTGCTTCCATAGACGCTCTCATCTTGAACAATAGAGAGAACCATAAAAGGAAGGGGTTGGGGAAAAATTGCCTTTGTAGCCTTCTTTACATAAGGCTGCAGTCCTAACCCTGTTTATGTGGGAGTAAACCCCATTGAATTAAGTAGGAGTTACTTCTGAGTAGCTGTGGTTTGGTTTGTGCTGTCAGTCTTCCGATTGGCTGTAGAGATCTGATGAAACAGTAAAAAGACTAGAGGTGATGTGAGGGGCAAATTCGGATCTGCCACAGGTGTGCCAACTTAACTTTCTTTAATTGGCTGGGAGGGTCTGCTGTTTTTACCTACTAGGTTTAACCTGGGGTGAAATGTTAGTTGTCTAGTGCCACCTATTCTTAAGGGACTTATTGAAGACTGCTTGAAAGCGCACACACTTCTTTTCAAACTGGGACTTTAATTTTGCCCTTTCAAAGTGCAGTTGTGGCAAATATGGATTCTCCGTGGCTTTTGTGGATGTTTGAGCCTGGTGCTGCCTGGTAGTGATGATAAATCTGGATGACTCGCTGGCTGCAATAAGCAACTTTGCTGGTAATGCCTGGTCATGTTTTGTTGCTGTGTTAAAGACTTCTCCACTCTTCCCCCATCCTGTATGTGTTAAGGGGAGGGATTACCTTCTTACGATCTTGCAGTGACATTGATTTGCACTTCCATTGCGGTTTTGGGATGATTGTTCGTAAGAAATAGGATGGTGTTGTACCAAAAGTCTTTTTGTTGCTCCCAACTGCCCATCATATTTGAATGCTTCTGAGGACACCTGCAGAAGACCAGGTTTTTGAGCCTTCCTCCTTATTGGTTTGCAGGGAGATTAGCTAACATTGGCTATTCAGTGAGCATTGATTCTGATCTGTTTTCCGGGAGGTTAGATAGCGTTGCATGAAAGCGAGTGTTATCTGACACTTCCCAGTGCATTTTTGTTGTTGTTGTTGCTTTGCTTATTGCAAAAAAAGTCCAGTCCTTTGTGGAAGCAGGTTTGTTGCGCAAGACCTACTTCCACAAGGGACGCGGGTGGCACTGTGGGTAAAACCTCAGTGCCTAGGACTTGCCGATCGTATGGTCGGCGGTTCGAATCCCCGCGGCAGGGTGAGCTCCCGTTGTTCGGTCCCAGCTCCTACCCACCTAGCAGTTCGAAAGCACTCTTAAGTGCAAGTAGATAAATAGGGACCGCTTTATAGCGGGAAGGTAAACGGCATTTCCGTGTGCTGCGCTGGTGCCGTGACCCGGAAGTGTCTTCGGACGGCGCCGGCTCACGGCCTCTAGAGCGAGATGAGCACGCAACCCTAGAGTCGGACACGACTGGCCCGTACGGGCAGGGGTACCTTTTACCTCTACCTACTTCCACAAAGATCAACTATAAATTGGCTACTTGAATTTGTTAGTATGCTATTGAGAGCCACCCGAAAACAGTGATGGTTTGGAAGTGCCTTGTTGCTGCTTGGAAAATAATGACTGTCTGGAAGTGCCTTGAGTTTCTTTCCAAGTCCTGTTGGCTACTGAACGTGCTTGATTACTGTGCCCTGCTACATGCCATTGAAGCGTGTGGCCTGGCTCTTTCACACGAGCACCTGGTATATATACCCATAAGATGCACCTGACCATAAGACGCACCTAGTTTTTAAAGGAGGAGGAAAACAAGAAAAAAAATATTCTGAACGAAACAGTGGAAGTATGATTTTTGTGGTTCATGCTGTGTCCACAGACATTTCCCCTTACTTTTTAGGAAGAAAAAAGTGCATCTTATGGTGCGAAAAATACGGTATTTGCTCTGCAATCTCTCCTCCTGTGGCCTGGCTTGCATGACACCCTAAATCATGGCTTGCAGCCTTTGGGCTTGTCCCCAGTCCATTCTGCCTGTTGCACCATGCTGAGCTGTCGCCAAAGGTTGGCTTAGTATGTCGTGAGAACCAGGCCTGTGCACACCTGCAGTGCACCTGGTTTCTAACCCAAGCCTGATGCGATAAAAGCAACACTGGGCGTCTCACCCTGTTTTTACCTCAACAGTATGAACATAAGACAAACCTGCTGGATCAAGCCAATGGCCCATCTAGTCCAGCATCTTTTTCTCATAGCGGCCAACAAGATGCCTTCATGAAGCCTGCAAGCTGGACATGAGTGCAAGAGCACTCTGCCCACCTGAGATTCCTGGCAACTGGGACCCAGAGGCAAAATGCCTCTAACTGTGGAGGTAGAACAAATCCCGCCATTAAGAGGGGGACACTTGTAAGGAGACTTTGCAGGTTGGAAGGTGTGTTTCCTGTTTTCCCCACCTACCCAGCTGTCCCTTGCAACCCCCTCTCCCTAGTTTTCCTCCCATACTCTTTAACACAGGGCTGGCCTACATGGTACTCTCCAGCTGATGGACTACAACTGCCATAATCTCTGACCCTTGTCAGTGCTTGCAAGAGCTTAGTGGAGTTGAAGTCCAAAACATGGAAGATAGCATCTTGGGCTTCTCTAACAAACTGGAAGGGAGCCCAGGCGCTGGAAAAGCAACATTGGGGGATGTAGCCCAGATGTGGTTGGACTACAACTCCCATCGCTGCTGATCTTTGGCCATGATGGCTGGAGCTGATGATGGGAGTTGTAGTACAGCAATATCTTGAGATTTCCCCCACTCCTGGTCTAGGGCTTCTCTCTACCTTTCATTTTAAAATGCCTGCATCAGAAATAGGACTGGTTTGGGTGTACCAAAGCCTTTCCTTTGAATTTTCAGCTGCCTTCTGGAGGTCTCTCACCCTTGCGGAAATGTAAGGAATAAATGTGCAAGCAATTTCTCAAACTTATGTGCTTTGTTAAACAAAATGAGGGGGTGGGGAAATGGGGAAAAGAAAAAGAAATAAGCTTCTTGCGTCTACATGAATTTGTGGCTGCTTCTAGTTCAGTTTCTGCTGCTCCACCAACCAAGGATTCTACCTCATAGCCATAGCAGGGCAGTGTTGTGCAGTGGTTTGAGGGTCAAGCTGAGGAGAGATCTAGTTTCAGATGCCTCCTTACTGAAGAATCTTGCTTGAGTGTCCTCAGGCCTAGCCTCTTTGCCTGTCCTACCTCACAGGGTTATTTTGAAGATAAAATACATTTTTGTAGGGTGAGGTCAGAACTGCCTATGCCACCTTGACCTCCTTGCAGGAAAGGTGGGAGTAAAAGTTCATGCCGTGATAACATTTCTGACTGTATGCCTGACTTCTTTGTTTGTTCTTCAGGGACAAACTGTGCCTGTGTAAATTACAGGTGGGCAGTGGCGACTGGTGCCCCCTGGGGCTGGTAGGGCAGGAGGCAGGGAGACCAACAGCAGGTGGCGCTAGAGCCAATGACAGGCAGGAGCAACCCCCTGACTGGCTGTAAGTAAGAAGGGAGGCAGGTGGGGCTGCCTGAAATTGGTGGGGGGCAAAGCCTCTACTGCAGATGGGAGCAAAAATGTTAAACAGAGCATCAGCTTTGCGATGCCAAATTGTGCACACCTGGAGACACCTAGGAAACATGAATTGCATACCTGGTCCCCATCTCCCCCCTAGATTCCCATTAAAACAAAGGTTACTAGGTTTGGGAAATTTGCTATCTGTCTGCATTGATACTGGCATGACTTTAGCTTTCAGAATATCACTTTGCTGCAGGTGAAACCTGCTGCGATTGTCTATGTGATGCAATCAAAAATTGGGTGGAGGGAGGGGTGAATAGTGAAGGGTAAACAGTGATTCCAAAGAGCAGGAGGAGTTCTGGCACGCGTTTGCATAATGCTAGCCTAAAACTGTGCTACAAATCATTATTCTGTAGGGTGTGTTCCTGGGTGTAACTCTTGAGATGTGCAGTTGAAGGTAGCCTACTTTATTCTCTGTGAAGATGCTGTA